ACTACCGCCGCCCATGAACAACCGCAACACCAGGGGAACCAGGGAAATTGCAGATGCGTTGCCGGCCTTTTAAAGAGTAGGATCTTTTCTTGAAGGTCCCTAAGTCGTATCGGTCCGGAAAAATCGCTGGTGGTAAAGTTGTGCGAGGAAGAAAACATCTAAAGCGCACAGTGGTGGCCCGCCAATCATCCAGATGGTGTGGATGGTATCGGGAGTTCTGCCGCGATGTGCGTTCGTGAAATTTGGCGGCTGGGATTAATTCGAACGATTTCTCAGAGCACTCCCCGTGGTAAATTCGAAACAAAATGCAAAGAGATGCAACATCTCTTCGCAGCGCCAATGAATCGAGCCGATCGGAAAGGACTCGGTCGTCGACGATTCGAGCCGCTCTGCGCTGGATGCGGTCAAGTGGAAGGAGCTGGCACTGGGGAGCCCCAGCCCAGAGATGAATAGAATAGAATAGAATAATTTTTATTCAATATTGATTATTACATAATACTTATTGAAAGTAATTTTTTATTTACCACGGGATGGGAACAGTAATGTGAGGCCGACCCTGCGCCTTGTAAAGTTGCAGGCGCTGTGCTGGCATTAAACGTGAACCGAGCCATTCGGCGTGGTGGGCGTTAAAATCGCCAAGGATCACGATCTCTGCAGATGGGACCTGTTGTAGCAAGGAATAGCCATTTGGACGTGATCGATGAGTCGGCCTGTTTCGGCATTACCGCTATGGGACCTATAGAGGCACCCGTAGACGCGCGGATGGTCGTCGCTATCTACGCGTAGCCAAAGGATGGACAGGTCCGAACCCTCAACACTGCCGAGGCGTCGAGAACAGATGTCAAACTCCAGCCCGAGACACAAAGGAGTGTTCCAATTTGTACCCCGGGTAGGAGAGATACGAAGTATCAGCCGGAGAGTACACCTGCGTTTAGGCCAGAAAGAGCAAGGCCGGCTTCGCCGTCTCTAGATGGTAGTGGACGGCGTTTAGGTTCGAGTGAAGTCCCCTAATGTTGCAGAAATTCACATATAGCGTGGCAGGGGTCGCCTTGGTCTTATTGCTCAGTTTGCCCCGAGCAGTTATTGTGTTGAGCGGAATTTCGCCCCCCCCCCCCCCCAGAATACGCGGGCAGCCTGAGCACCCACGCTCAGGAGTGGAGTAGCATGGTCATGGATGCTCAGCGAGGGGTTCTCCAGGGGTGCTGGTACCTTCCTGGGGTAGTCTATGATTTAATTCCGCTACCATATTGATGGGGTGGGGGGCGGGGGGGGGGGGGGGGGGGGAATTGGGCCTCCGGTCTCCTACACTCACCAGACGAAACATAGAAGCAGAGCTTCCACTTCATGCCGGTATTCTGTGAGGCCGTGGAATCTACCCGATTTGAGCCGGCCCATACGTGCAACAGCAAAAGCTGCTGCGTGGCTCTACCACCGTTAAGTCAGTAGTTAGTTAAACCGTTTTTGATGATTCTTTTTTTATTTGAAAGCTGGTGCTTCTCATGTAGTCCCATATCAATTGATCAAGAGCTGAACAGCAGTTTTGGAGTAATCCATAATAAGGCGTATTTAGTTTTGACTTCGACTACATTGATGATGTTCTCATTTTATTTATATTGAAATTGGTGTACAACATTTTTAATTTCACCACAGCTGGTCTGGTTCACATATTTTGCTATTTACAAAAATGCGACACGCAACGGCATTATTCATAAAAGAGTGGCAATGAAAAGTGCTGCTTTCTTCAATCTCTTTCTTTTATCGACCAAGTGGGGTCGAACCACTAATAACTAGTATATCGTCGTTGTCAAACCAAAATCTGCTATGTGCAAAAAGTATACTTTTGAGATAGGAAACAAAAAAGTTCTGTAAAATTTAGAAGATAAATTTTAAAAACCATATCAAGTTGAAGTCATAGATATCATACGTAATTTTATTTGTGTTTTGAGTATTTAGATTATTTAGTTTATTTTATATTTTTAAATCACATTATTTTTTGCACATAATAGATTTTAAATTGTCAATTATTTGGCACATAACAGGTATTAGTGAAAAAGATATCTGATTTACACTAGACTTTTAATACTGAAAAATATTAACAATAAGTTTTAATCAGAATGAAATATATTTTAAACAATCATAAAACGGATGGTATTCTCTGTCTATAAATGGTTTTGATTCTTGTAATTGGTTGAACTTTGATTGAGTTATTTCTAATGACCTTTCATACAATGCCGAAGGTTCAAGGTACTGTTGAGGAAGCTGCCTACGTTGTGGCAAAATTGTGTACTCTTGTGGATGGCGAAGTTTGAAGTACACTTCACCAGTAGACTTATACAAAAATGCTCTGACATCATTCACAGTGGGACCACCCTTCCTTTTACCTGGTCGAATAGACTGAAAATTGACGTTTCATTTTTTTTCGCTCATAATCCTTGAAAAAATCAAAATGGACTACTCTAACATCATAGGCTTGTTTGGGCTGCGTTTGACACATTCTTGAAATGTAATCTTGAAGTGCATAAATAGGCCTAATTATATAATGTTCTATAGTAGAGTGGACACTATCAACTTCCATCATAGTGTGTCCCTTTTTTAATATGATTTGTTCTCTTTACTAAGTCCACTTAGGAAGGTAGGAGACACAACCGACGCGCTGACGATACTCACGAGGAGTGAGTTTGTTTGTCCGTTTGTTCATCATTATACTAATGACTAAGTACTGTTAGGCGAGGCAATTTATATATTTTTTAGAATTTTTTATTGCTGTATTAAAGTGATTATTGATCACAAATCTATACAAATAAATAAAATTGAAGTGTCTGTTTGTAATGTCAAAATAACAACTTTTTACTAAATTTATATGAAAGTATAAACGGTACTTATAACAAAAACACAACTTTTAACATTTTTGTCTGACTGTTTGTTCCGGCTAATCTCTGAAACGGCTAGACCGATTTCGATGGAATTTTCACTGGCAGATAGCTAGTTATAAGGAGTAACTTAGGATATTTATACTTTAGAAAAATAATTAAGGTTCCGAGCAAACCTAATTATTATAATATAATAAGGAAAAATTGTATGTAGGTATTATCACGAATTATAAAATAAATGATAAATCATACACGGACGTAACAAACAATTTTAAAATCACACCAAAGACGATAAAAGAATAATACAAATTACAACTAATATTTTTCCGTTACTTTTACCGTTACAGCCTATTAAAATTCACTCCTGAACATAGGCCATCGCCATAGATTGCCTCATACGGCAAATAATTGCCATAGTTGCTGGCAAGCGGGTTGGCAACCGCAGTTTTTTTATTTTTAGTCGTTATTAGGAAGACGCTGCTGCCCATCTCCTGATTTGTTTCCCTCTGCCGTCTCTTACGACACCCATGGCATGATATAGGGTAGTGGATATTCTTACCCCGCCACTACACATTAGTTATTTGTATAAATATTTTTTCAACTGTATGCACAAAACGAGATACCAGAGTAATTGACTTAGCCTGACAGATCAGTAAGCATAAGTGGCAGGTGGCAGCGAGCAGGCTATATAGATCAAAGAACAACTTCATTTGTGGCGCTGAGGACCCCCGCTTGAATCCCGCACGGAACAAGTTTTTGTATGGCCTACTAATAATTCCGATTTTGTTAGGTATTAACTATAAAATATTTTTTCCGGCTCTGGATGTTTGTCCTTGTAGAATTTATGTTTGCAACTGCCTCCACGATACAGGAGAAAATCCTAGTGTGAAGTATTTTAAAGAAGAAACAAAAACCGACAACTTGTAATCTTTGCCAACAACCGATGCAAAAAAAAAACTTGAGTAGCTTGCATAGATAAATAAATATGTAGCAAGCTAGTAGGTTGTGAGTAGCGGCCTCGACCGCTCGACGGAGTGCATAGATTATTACTTATAACAGAATTGATGAGATAAAATTTGCAGAGTCGATGGTTCGATGGATATTATGCGTAACGATCACAAACTAATAAGAAGTGCTAGCCATAGATAAATATATATGTAGCAAGCTAGTGCTAGCGCAGTAACGATCATGCTTGTGATGATTTGTAGGTTAGGTCACTTGCAGAATCGGAAATCTAACTTTATTATGCGATAATAATATAAAGATAAGGCAAGAAATAATACCATAATTTGATGCACAAATTAAAAGAAAAAAGAAAACATTTAAAAAATTAAACTAAACTGAACTGAAGTAAGTAAATGAAATAAAAAAATATAGGTATGTATATTACTTGTATTTAAATAGGCAATCCCAGGTATTTAAATAATGATATGATAAGTAAGATGCAGTCTGAAACAATTAAAATAAACATTTGAAATTACCGCCCATTACGGTATCTAAATGTATGTTCATGGAGGTCACAAAAATGTTGTCACTCGTTGATATCTTTTTAGGTTTGAAATTAAATTATTTTGATGTAATGTAAAAACAATCATACTTATAATTGTACAAATGTACATATAGGGCTGTGAAAAAAAATATTATTAATGGCAAGTACTAAAAACTCTACAACTCTACATGCTCTGTTACTGTGACATGCTCTCTCTGTGTAGAGGAGTATTGCCGGAAACTTGAACGGCGAAGGATTGCTGCTCTTGTATTATAGTTTAAATAATGATAGGAAGTGGATATTGATATGTAGAAGTGTTGCGATTTTGTGTATTAAGAGTCTGCGCATGTGAACTATTAGTGGTAACAGTGAAACAAGTGCTCTGATGGTGATGTGATTCTCAATATAAGGGTCTGTTTGCTTAGGCGCCTTGAGATCCACCATCGCCAACTGTCAGCTTTCTGCTGGCTCAAGTTGCCGTCAAAATCTCCCAAGGGTTGCACAATGTGACGCATCAACATATTGTGAAACAGTGTACTATGAATTATACATTGTAACTTCAGGCTCAGAAAGGCTCGAACCCAGAGCCGTAAAGCTAGTTATAAAAAATCTCTGTGTAGAGATGTAGAGTCGAGTCGAGTGCACGTTATTGCAAATTGCAAATGGCGTCCGCGTGACGGGTGATCGCTCTCCGTCAAAATGCATACGCGATGTTATGAAAAGTTAAAATATTTCTAAAGTGACGTCTACAAGACTTCTTACAATGTGCGAAAGAGGTATGTAATTAGGTTAAAATTATTTCCTTGCCATTATTACGTAACATTTTTTGTTTTTGTTAATTCATCCGAGGCTATTCACTGTCTCACTCGTTTGTTATGATTCTCCTGTCATTATTTACAATCGGCGACGTATATGCATCTCTTTCGGTTCCACAGTTTTCTTCCAATAGGTTTTTCATTTTTGAGTGTCCGCGCGACTGAGACCGAGGAAGGAAAGCTGGGTACCGACGGAAAAATATGAACAATTGTGTGCTCTTAAAAATTATTGATTTTTCATCGTTAAAAAACACATCAGACGCCGCTAATTGCATACGTGATGTAGAGTCGCGCGACGTCTCACGATTGTGAGTATTATTTTACCTATTCTAGTTGTTTTTCCATATTCGAGGTTGTGGTCGAGAAAAGTCACATTTTTCAGCACAATATGATAGTCGACCATTTCGTTTGCTTGCGACGATTACGGTTTGCCCAGTAATGTTTTTTGTATCAACTAGACTATCTAAACATAGTGCGATGTAATTGTTTAAATATTGATTTTGTTATTCGAGGCATGCATGTGTGAGTCAAGCCGTACATGCACGAATGTTTATAACATTAGTTGGGGCCTGCTATACTATTTTGGGATCGGCCAAATGTTGGCTTTGTGCTCATATTTTAACCATAATGCTCCCGTATAGCGCCCAAGAGCGTTAGGAAATCTAATAGTAACGACGAGGAAATTCTGTGCTCGACGTGTTTTGCTTTTTGACACGCTGTTTATTTATTTTTTATTTAACAAGGCTATGGAAATCCTTACCGGTGAGTCTTTTGTAACCATTGTAGTACTTGTGTCATATATCGCGTATGTTTAATTTGGTTATTTTCTTTATCAGTCAAATGGCCGAACCTAATGTTTGCAGCTCCATGGAACGTAAAAATTGTGATAAGATATTTTCTATGCTCAAGAGGCCTTACGAGAGACTTTATAGTGGTATTTTCAACTTTGATTATTAACTTTATGAATTTTTGCTGCTGTGCATTTTTAATCAGAGTAAAGAGAAAAATAACTATTATTCATTTGATTTGAAGAATATATAACTGTAGTAATATTTGCTAAAGTCGATTCTGTGCCGATCGTCTGCAGGCGACTGGAGCCTAGCATAAATAACTGATTTTCTCGGAAGCCATATTCAAATACAGGTTTATCTCGGTCGTGAAATTATACAAATGCATTAATTCGTTTGTGGTTGTACCGTTTAATAAATAAATTACTGATTTAGTCTACTAAGTACACCTTTTACTGGTTATATAATGTTATAGGTAATTTGAGGGATATACTACATTATATACGACATATTGATAACTTTGTTGTCATCAATGTAATATCATAACCAAAACCCGCCCGTAAAATTATATCATGGACGAAATCACTTACAATATTGCAATGCTAAGGACTTGTTATTTTTTTTATCACTAAAATGAAGTGAAAAACGAGCTTACAGTGACAGTCCACGTGATGGTAAGTGGCTCCTGTAGACCATGGATACCTGTAAACAAATAAGGACAAATGCAGAGGACAGATGCGTTGTCACCTCCGAATATCAAGATGAAATGTTTCACAGCCTCTCTCTATAGTTTATACCCTTCAGAAGGGTACGCAGTAAAACACGCTCTGCAATTTGGCGGCAGAAATAGATAAAATGGTGGTTCCTATCCATAGGGTGTTGTAGTCAGAAAATAAGTATTACCACTTAGTATGGTAATATTTAGTAACCTGGATAAGAAGCTGTTCCCTTCTTGTCAAGTAAACAGGAGAGTTGATCAGGTTACCGATATGTATTTTTTTTTTACCCTTTTAAGAATTTTTCCAATATGCATCGGATTCCTGATCCATTTATATCTTTTTTTTTTCTTACCCTTACAAAAATATGTACACAGAATTACCATATACAATTTCTTCTAAATAGCTATGTTACATCAAATCGAGATGACATGCAAAAATAAACAAACGTAAACAAAAGAACATAATTTGATTAAAACGTATTCATAATTAATATTAATCAGCGGACAATATTCGAGTAATAAGAAAAGCGAAGAAGGGTGTAAAAAACGAGTGAAATAAGTAAATAACGAAATTTGGCCTCATATTGTTTTATAAGAAAATGATACAAATAAAGCACGTTTTGGTCCAACAGAATATTATTGTAGATCGCCTCATCTATACAAATAAATAAAATTGAAGTGTCTGTTTGTAATGTCAAAATTACAGCCTTTTACTAAATGCATATGAAAGTATATACGGTACTAATAACAATAATACAATTTTTAAAGTTTTTGTCTGTCCGTCTGTCTGTCTGTTTGTTCCGGCTAATCTCTGAAACGGCTTGACCGATTTTGACGGGATTTTCACTAGCAGATATCTAATGTCACAAGAAGTAACTTAGGCTACTTTAGAAAAATAATTAAGGTTCCGCGCAACATAATTAAAACCCTAAATTATACTCGGGCGAAGTCGCGGGGAACAGCTAGTCTTTTAATGAGTGTGAATTTGCTCCATCAATAAGTGGGACTAGATAAGTAAGGAGACTTATTTGTTTAATAATTAATAGTATTAGGTTTTACATTGCAGCAATGTAATATCGGTCCAGCCGTTTCGGAGATTAGCCTAAAAAGCATAGAAAAAAGTTATGAGGTAACACACATAAAAAAAGAACATACAGTCGAATTGAGTACCTCCTCACTTTTGAAGTCGGTAGAAAAATGATGCAAAAAAAGGACACTTTGGTCCAACAGAATATTTGTAGATCATGTCAATAAATGGGTCTAAATAGGTCGGGAGATTTGTTTTCTAGGATTTGTGGCCGTGATACTGCTACATTCGTGATTACAAAGCGGAAGTAATATAATATTTTGTTTCTAGAACATGCTATAGGTTATTTGCGATGATTTTTCATTTTGCTGACTTAACATATCTCCGGCAGTGTAAAAACCGTGTGGCTTTTGCATGTCTGGGAAACAGAACGTATTTTGATGACATGTAAAGTCCACAAGCGCGCTCTAGAGAACCGCATTACTGTTTATTTCTACCATGCTATTTTAAACAGCTCCATTTTTGTTCTCGTTTCACTAAGCGTATTTTGATAGGGAAAGGTCCTAGAAAAAATACGTTCTTCTATCTGGTATTACCTTGCCGTGTAACATGCTTGTGACGGCTGTTATAAAGCCAGTTAAATTTTTGGATTTTATCGGAAACCTTCTAAGCTATAGACAAATTCTGCTTAAACTCAATTCAGTTTTGAACAATACAGTGGCGACGCCGTCGTCGCGCCACAAGCGAAACACATCGAAACCTAAATCGCGCTATCAAAGTTCCGAAGTAAAAGCAGAATAATAGAATAGCTCCACGAACGTTGGCCGCCCGCCGGGCAAATCACCTTGCCCAACGGGGGAATTCCCCTTTTCATTCCACGGGCAAAATACTAACGTTGCCAATAATAACGTACTTACTGTTAAATTTTAACCTTAAGTTTTATGAACAGCTAGAGCCAATGTAATAAGACATGTATAATTAATTAATTAAATCTCTTGACAGCAAAATTAATAAGGTACTGAAAAACAAGTCGAAAGGTTAAAACAGTAAAAAAATTACTGAAAAGAGAAAAGTTTTGTAACTTCACATCTAAAACTAAAACAGTTCTCACGACACGCCATTTGTTAAGATCCATCAAGTCATCTAGGCTACAGAGCGTGCCATAGAAATAGACATTAATAAATCTTTATTTCGAATAACAAATGAGATCCATATCAGAGAAGGTAGAAAAATCACAAAATATTAATAATAATACAGCTAGGTAGATGGAGGAGGCAAACACACACGCACACGAACACGCACACGCGCACGCGCACACACACGCATGCACACGCGCCCACACGCGCGCGCTCACGTACACACACGCGCGCACACATACACACACGCGCACACACACACACACGCGCACACACACACACAAGCGCGCACACGCGCACACACACACACGCGCGCCCACACACACACACACGCGCGCGCGCACACACACACACACACACACACACACACACACACACACACACACACACACACACACACACACATACACAACGCGCCAATATAATATGAAACTACCCATTGCATGGCATATAATTTTTTTTTTATAGAATAAGGGTGACAAACATCGATGGTGACAAACGAGCACACAGTCCATCTGATGGTAAGTAGTTGCTGTGGCCCATAAACATCTACATGTATCTTCGTTTGCGAATTAAAATGTCGGCAGAAAATAATTCTATTCTATTACAGCGAAAGCTTAGCACCCGAGCCACGACGGCTCTTTTCATATTGTATATTAAAATGATATCTTCGTTGTTTACTACTTTTATCCACGACTACATCCATTAACATAACAAAACAATTATTCGTTTTAATATCGACGACAAAGATGTGTCGTAATCGTCACGTATACCTCAAAACTTGAAAACAAAAGTGTATATCCAGTGCGTGTTGCCAGTGATGTCATATGAATCTGAGATGTAGTCCTTCACTGGTGGCCGTGTGAGAAAGCTCAAGGTCGCTCAGCGAGTTATGGAGAGGCCTATGCTCGGAGTTCGCGTGATAGACTTCGTTATGAGGATATCCGCAGTAGAATCAGAGTAACCGATATGGTCCAACGAATCAGTAAGCTGAAGTGGCAATAGGCCATATAGAACCGACAATCGATAGGAAAGAAAGGTTCTCCAATGGATGCCTCGTATCGTTAAGCGAAGTGTAGGGCGGCCACCCTCCAGATGAAGTGAAGAGATGGTAAGAGAACGGAAAAGTGGATGGATGCGGGTAGTGGACAGTCTAATGAGTAATATAATATATTTAATACTGATATCTGGTCAATAACAATCAGGATTATTGAAATGATGTTTACCGATTAGTCGCCGCGTCAAAACCAAGCACTGTGTGGTTTAGCCCTGAAATAATAATCAAAATTAAC